CAGAAAATATTAAAAATAAAAGTTTGATAGATGCTTTTAGTGTTACTTATATTCCAGTGTAAAGCACTAATTTTTCTACTATCGAAGTTTATGTAACCACAGTGAAATGAATAATAATGATAATAATAATAATTTTTATTATTACTATTATTATTATACACACATTTGGAAGATTTTTCCCCCAACTTTCTTCCCAATTTAGTCATATCCAATTCCACCCACTAGTCAGGACTCCGCCAGTCACACAATACCACGAGTGAAGGCCGGCACAGGCTTCCTCCGAGACCTGTGAAGGGCCACTGCATCTTTTCCAACTGCCGCTAAAGCAACGTCATTGGATAGCTGAACGCTCTTGGAGGAAAGTGCCAACCGCCAGTTCTCTTACATCAGCTAACAGACGCCTGCGCAAACTAGCATTGTGCTGAGTGATGGGGTAGAAAGGGGGGGGCATCCTACCCACCCAGAGGGAGCGAGGCAAACTGTGTTCTCCTGGCCATGGATGACTGTAGCATCACAAATTTGGAAGATTTTGTTAATAGGATATGACAAATTGTTTGCTCAGATCATGAGTGGGATTGTGGGAGCAGCATTGGGCTGAAGCAGGCGTTAAGAGTCTGAATATTGTTGAGAATTTTGTAACTTCATTTAAATAAGTGAACTTGCCTTAAAACATAATAACAGAAAAATTACATGAAGAAATCTATGAACCAGTGACAGTGAGAGACAGTATGTTACTGAATACATTTAAGACAGTGTATTTAGTATTCAGCCATCACTTTTTCAAAGTATTCTGCCCAACGGTAGGCTAAGAGCAGATGCCGTTCAAACTATATACCTCAGTTTAAAGTGAGCAACAGGGAAAGTGGCATTAGCTCAAATTTCCTCTGCTAGCTCATAACATTTTATTCCATAATAGCAGATAAATCAGATTCTGAAATGAAGGTGTGCATTCTTCATGCTTTATGCAGTAAAACAACAGCAGATAATCAAAGCAGCACACAATTCTGTCTCGCCCGGTTAAACAGGAGGATGAGAGAGAAATGGAGAGAATAGAGAGAGAGCGAAGGAAAGAGACAGTGGGAGTCTCACCCTTGATCTTCACTCTCACACACACAGGTGGCATCTCGTTCCTTACGCACAAACACAAACGCGCACACACCTGCACCTTCCTGCCTTCATGACACTTTTCTGTTTCACAGCACAACTCTAGCACTGCCTTCCGATCGAGGTGCGAGAGGAAAAATCCCACCGAGGGTGCAAAGAGCAAAGCCACGTGCTGAGAAACACACACATTCGCAAAATCATCCACACATGTACACACACTGCTCACACACATATTCATTTAGATGTACACACGTCTTTCTGAGTAACACGCACACACACACACACTTCTCTCAGTGTGTTGATAGATCCGACATCTGGAGCTGCTTGACGTGGAAGGAAAAGAAGAGAAGGATAAAAAAAAGTATCAAATAAAGGAAAAGAAGAGCAGAAGGCAGGGTGAAGAGGATGCCAGGGCTGCGTGCCTTTTGCCTTCGCACTTTAACTGGATTTCAGGAGATTACTGCAGAATGTCTTTGCGTCTTCATCTCACTGTTTGTATTACTGTAACAGCATTTGATGGCTCTGGAGCCCAAATGTCAGCAGTGATGGAAACATGGAAGGCAACGGCTGCTCTCGCCGCTAATGGGAAGGGATTACATCGACGCGAATGTCTAAAGGACAGAGACAGAACCATCTCTCCATCGTGAATTAAGACTGATCTGCTATAATGAGCTGGGGGGTGGGGGTGTGGGGAGCCGGGGACAAAGTCTGTCTCTGATGGTGCTACCCAGCTCAAATTTCTCAAAAATAGTATATGATAATATATGATAATTTAATTTTAAAGGCATTATCAGTTACTTTACATATCTGTACACTTAAAAAGTTTATTAAACAGTTCTTGGAAGGAGGTTTTTTAAACTTTAAAAAAGGTTCATTGCATTTACAAATTAGTTTTTTTTTTTGTGAAGCATCTCATGGACCTGGCATGTAACTCACTCACTCACTCACTCACTCACTCACTCTCACTCACGTTTAGCAGGCTGAGGATTCTTCACAATGGGATGACATCAGCAGTCTAATAGCTTTTAATGCTAAGAAAAGTGCTTTGCATCAATGACACTGTGTCTCCAGGTACAAAGAACAATCCATTGAAAGGTTCTTTCAGGATCCAAATGTTTTCTTTCATGGTGTCACTCCAAAGAACCCCGTTTGGCACCTTTTTATGCATAATTAAATAGTTGAAATGTAAACAAAGCCTTTTTGATTGGCTTGATGTTAAATGTGCCATTCTAGAGAAACGTACATTAAAGCGTTTAATGGTTCTAAAAGCTACCTCACAGAAATGTATTACAGGAAATGGCTGTAAATGTGCTGTCTGATGCCTGAAATAGTAGTTTAAAACATAATTTTTAAAATCTATTCATGGTGAAGAGGTATATGCAGGGTGTTGTTAAGGCAAAATTATATCCAAAGAAAACTTTTTTTTCCTCCTGATTTACCACTATTTTACCCTTGTCAACATTACATAAAAAAACTCAGGAGACTCTGATCGTTTCGGATGGCAATTGAACTGGTGACCCCTGGCTCCTGTCACCACCACTGTAAAGAGTTTGGACTTGGTAGGTTTCATTACGGTGCATCATTTGTAAAACTGTAGGAAGTAAAGATGGAGGATGCACATAGGTTTCTCTCTTTAAATTCATTGACTTAGCTCTAGATTGACTTACTTGACTTGACTAGATTGACTTACTTGACTACTTCAGTAGTCAGTAACCTGATGAAACATGATCTGAAGCTGTAATTGCTTTGTTTATGTCAGTCGTGCTCAGTCACAGTTCAGAGCGCCCCCTGTCTCTTTAAGGCTGATGCAAAAACGTGGCAATTTGTGTCATTTATTCTACTGCTCTCCATTAATAACAGGATTTCTCAGTGCTGCTATTTGATATGTAAAGAACATGAGCTAACAGAGCTTTGCATCTCACAAGCTACCTTTTTGAACAGGAAATCTATAAATAGAAACATAAGGCACACACCATTCTTGTTTTATTGCTATTTTGATTAAACAGAACAATAATATGTGCTTACAGGTCTGAATTGGTTTTTGCGCTTGCTATTAAAAAGTCACAGAATATCCAACAATAAAGGTAAAGATTTGTGGATCTTTTTTCAATAACAGTAACTTACAGTACAGTAGCACTCAATTTTACACAATTTCTAGGTTACTACTCAAAATTAGTTTGTGACACTGACCATGTTAAGGCCTTTATACAAAAAGTTCAGTTCTTTGCCATATGCCTTTCATTGAAGCTTTTCTCTCTAATAGCTATTCTAATAATATAATTTTAATGAAAAAGGTTGTAGTGAATAAAAAAAGAATATAAAAAATAGAAGTATTTTCACTAGTGATCTCTGACCTTTGAGTCCTGGTGTATAAATGTAAATTTATGTACACTGTGTCCAAAAGTATCCAGACAGCCTAGAGCCTAAGGTCTCTATTCCCATTGCCAATCATCGGGTAGAGGGGCATAAAGCCCCCCCTCAAGCATTGAGCTGTGGAGTAGGGGAACTGTGTTCTTGGGAGTGGTGGAGCTCTATACAGTATCTTTGGGATGAGTTGGAGTGCCATTTGTAATTCAGTCCCTGACCTCACTAGTGCAAAGAGGGAACACGCTCTTTATTAACTGATTTTAGAAGAAATGCCGGATGAGCAGGTGTCTACAAACTTTTGGATATATAGTGAGTTTGTTTCAGGAAAAAGTTTCTTTAATCAAATCCACGTCTACCACAGTATGGCTTATTCAGAGTGAATGTATTTGATGTAAGTGAGTGACTATTGTGTGCGTGAGTGTAATATACAGTGACAAACTTGAAAAAAAGAGCATGTCAGAAAGTGAATGACATGGAGAGAGAGAGGCAGAGAGTGAGTACAGTGTGTGTTAGTGTGAGAGGAGCTGTCCAGGGTGCTACTGAGTTTGATGAGTTGAAGAGGGTGAGAGCATATTGTGTTAGTGTATGTGAGAAAGAGAGAGAGGCTGTGTGTGTGTGTGTGTGTGTGTGTGTGTGTGTGTGTGGTGAGGCAGAGCTGTAGATGGTTTGGCTCTCACTGCTAGTACAAACAGAAGGTTCCAGAGTGTTATTCATCACAGAGAACTGCCAACCTCTCTCTCTCTCTCTCCTACCCATAACACCATGTTCACACCTCAGTGTGTTAGGGAGCACTGTAAATAAACTCTAGTGTGAACTACTTTTATTGAACTTAGTAGACTTTTTCAGTCACTGTTTTATACAGTCCACCAAAATGTAGATACAGGTTATAAAGTATACAGAATTATAGGCTACAAATTATACAATATTTGGACAGTGAAGACTCTTAGAGATAGCATCACTAAATGACATGCAAGTCAACATTGCCTGCTGGTTCATGTTCTAGTGTTCTTCTCTAAGCATGCTAGTATCCTAACCCTTAAAGGTCCAGAGTCATTGTTTTGCTGTCATATTTAAATTTAATTACACAATTAATGTTTAACTACATAGTTACATAAGAAATTACATTTATGTTCGATTTACATTCTGTATTGACAGGCTTGAATCCACACTTACAACATTTTTTTTGTTTCTTTCAATGTCAACATGTGCCAAAAATGTAAAAGATTCTTCTCTCTTGTTGCAATTAAAAGTTTAGAAACCACACTTTAGACAGAATGTCTCCACTTGTTTCAGGGAGCTATGAGCTCAATAATTCATATAAAATTACAACATGCTTTTGTTATCACCAACAATAATTGTGTATCCCAAAATCTGACATACGCATATTAGGAGGTGTGTCAGTCATTGCCCTGATAGGCCATTAGCTCTGTTGACTTGTGAGATATGAAGAAAGCTCAGAGCACAGTAGTATTCAGGAAATGCTGCATATTGTTCTGACTTGTCTGTATTTGTGTTTTGTGTTATCCCAGGTGTCATACGCACGGCCCAGCTCAGCCTCTATCCGTGATGCTAACCTGTACGTGAGTGGGCTGCCTAAGACCATGACCCAGAAAGAGCTGGAGCAGCTCTTTTCCCAGTATGGACGAATCATTACCTCCCGCATCCTCGTCGACCAGGTCACAGGTATCCATGGGGTGGTTTTTACCACCATACTTCAAATGCACAAAATGTTTAAATAGAAATGCATAGCCACTCAATCAGTTGATCCATCCATGCTCTGCCCACAAATGCCTTTTTTTGTAGGAATGGGCAAAATTGGACAAAACATTGGCAAAAATCCCATTTAACCTAACAATTGCACTGTGCCACATTTGTCATGATTGTTTTCAGTCTGCCCAATGTTGAACACCTACAAGAACACAGTATAGCATTCCATACTCATGGACAAGAAGCTAGATTTTCATAACCAACATAGTGCACTATATAGGAAGAAGGGGGTATGTAAAAGCTTGTCCAACCTTCTGTCAGTTGCGACAAACTGTGGGCAGAGCCAAGGTAAGTCAATTATATAGATTGCATAAGTGCTTGAAAACTACTAAAATTACTAAAACTACTGAAACACAAAATGATCATAAAGTGATTTCATTAAATTCTTCAACTGCAAGGACAGTAGGGGTGGGCAATATGATGATATTTATTGTTGTAATGATAAATTGTGTCAGTATGATTTTCTGAGCCTATGGTGGATCAGCACTTGAAGAACACTTATCAACTGCATGTTTCATTACAAAAAAAACGTAATTAGTCCTGTTTAACTTTATTTGGTGCAGTGCAGTATGTGAACTTTACATGAAAATCACTGTATTCATAGTTTTTGATAGTATTTTTTAAAATGTGGCACTGCTGGTTCTTTTTTGTCAAACCTCTGTTTGTTAAATGTTGGGAAATATTTTGTGAAAATGTCTTACTGTGTTAATTTTGCCATATTGCCCACTCCTAAGGGCTGTATGTGTGTCCCTACTTTACTTCTTCACTCTCATAACTACATAACTTACATATTAGTTGTTTAGTAGCTGAATAATGTATAGTAGTTACTGAATAGGAATTACATTTAATAACTGCATAGAAACAGCATAATAATAAGGAGTTAAATAGGCTACCACAAATATTTGGCCATGTAGTCTATATCTCATTCTCTTGCGTGGTGCACTGGATTTTTACTTCTTTCTTTCATGTCATGGGGCATGTTTTGGTCAGACATATACAGTTGTACACAACGGTTTGGGCACTCTGGTCAAATGACATGTTTTGTTGATTTTCTAAGTGAATATAAGTGTACATTCTCTCCTACTGCACATTTTAATATATAATTACTCTTTATTTGTAGGCTTGACCATAGTTGGAAAAAAATAAAACATAAAATGTGGTCTGGGGAAAGTCATGGCACAGTTTACACTGTTTTATTTTTTCCAATATGTTAAACATAGTAAACAAACAACAAATTGTGCAGGAAATTTAAGTTTATTCCCTGTAAAGGATGTGTTGACTCATTTTCACTTAAAAATCAACAAAAACGTGTATTTGGAGGTGTGGGAGAGGTATCCAGACTATTGCATACGACTACACTCGCACACTTACAGGGAACTGCGAGTTGCTTCTTTAATGCGGAATCCTCCAGCGTGGCTTACATTGCATAACTAGCTCAGTTAGCTCTGTTTCATAGGATCTCCTCCCCTGCGGCACACACCACTGTTCTGCCTAATGTGCACTGATGGAGCAGAATGCCTGTTTAAACACACACGCTCATCTGCCAAGACTCAACAAATGAGCCACCATGCATGCATATGTGTGTGTGTGCACGTACGTATGTGTGTTTGACCACACAAATGTCCCATGACCTTAGCAAGTGGCAAATAAGTGTAAATCCAGGCCACAGAATAAGTGTCTTTTTTCCCCTTTCTGTTCTCAAGCCAGCACATTCCCTACATCTACCTCACCTTCTGGCAGCATCATAAATAAATCAGCTAGGATATAAATGGTCATGGAACTGAATTTCTTACGCAGGCAGTAGAACAATACTTTTCAAACAACTGCATATTTTATAATGTTACTTGCCATGCAGACAGTGTCACGTAAGCCACATAGTATTGCATGTTCTAAAGGTGCCGATTCCTTTTTTCTCCGCTGAGGAACAGTGAGTGCTCATATTCACAAAGATACACATGCATACGCACACACACACACATTTAGCAGCAAAATCCTCAGATATTCCCATGCTAACGTCCTTTGTTAACATTCATATAAACACTATACACACTGTACACATTTACATTTTTGTGAATCCTTCCAACCCCAATTTCCAAACATCCCCCTCACACACACAAACACACTCGGCACCTAAATCCCTGGATATTCACCCCACTAATATTCTTTGTTAACATGCATATAAACACATCATACATATTCAGGGGTCAACATTGCTTATTGCCTGGTGCTCCTGGCCATATTTCATTATTTGGTCACCAAAAATGCAGATGCTGTTGCCTAAAGGGCCACTTGCCTTGGAGATTTTTTCTGTTTTCTTTATTATTTGTATATATACTTTGTTAACTGTATATATGTTATATATGTTTCATTGGCTTGGGAGCCAGAGTGACCAGTGCAAAATATCTGTCTACTCCTGTGCAGTCAAAACTCCTGTCCAGTCAAAACAGCCATTAAGTACAAGTTATTCATTTTTGTGTGCAAGGAAAAGCAGAAAACATATATTTGGTAGATTACACAGAAGCCTCAACAGCTAAATGTAATATCAAATATAATAGCAGTATTTACTGTGTCCTCACTTTGCCTTTCATACAGCTTCCATTCTTTTCAGGAGACCTGCTTTCTGTTTTTCAAAGAAATCTGCAGAGATGTTTTTCCACACCAAGTTCAGTCTTAGAAGTTGGTTGTATTTCTGCTTTTCTCAGTTCAAGTAATCTGAAACACATTCAGTGATGATGAAGTCTGTGCTCTGGGGTGGCCCGTTCGGGAGAACATCAGCATCTTCTTTGTTTATTTCCTTTTCTCATGAAGGGCTTCTTGAAAGCTGCACATACTTTCAGACTCACAGTGTTTAGTTTTCTTCCAACAGTGGAAGGACGGACAGAAACACAGCACTGTGGATTTTTTCAGACCTGAAGCAAGAGTGGAGCTTGATTTTCTCCACTCACAAAGATAACTGCTTTAAATATATTAAGTACTATATCTGATGGTGACGGTTTTGGTGGTCTACCAGATCTTGCATGGTTGTTAGGAGTCCCATTTTCTGCTACATCTTTTAATCATTTCTTGAACTCTAGTTCTGGAAACTCATATGCAAGTGTAATATCTTACATTTAATCTTCTCAGAAATAACTCTTGAAAAATGAATAATGTTTACTTATTGGCCATTTTAACATTTTGAAATTAAAGAAATGACGGGTGGTCTCTGACTCTCTTGCATAGCATTGTATACACACACACAGACATTTACCACTGAAATCCTCAGTTATTCATCCTCTTAACATCCTTTGCTAGCATACATATAAATACTATGCGCACTGTACACATTTACATTTTCAAAAACTTTCCCAACCCCCCTTTCCAAATATTCTTCTCACACACACACGCACACCCTTCTGACATGCTCGGCCCCTGTGCGGCCGTGTGAAGGCTCCCCCGGGGCGGTGGGTCCGCAGGAGGAATCTTAATGACTAATTAAATCTGAGTTGCCGGTGATTAAGAAACAAGGAGAGTTTTTTTCCCTCTGAGCTGTAGAGAGCTGCCATGTCTGCCCTGCCCTCAGTGCAGAAAGAGAAACAGAGCATTTCTCGCCAAACCCTGAGTGCCATCCAGAGAGTGCAAGCGTGTGTGTGTGTAAGGAAAATAACAAACAGAAAAAAAGAATAGGAAAGAAATCCAAGATTTGATGTCAGAGCAGACTTGTAGAACTACTTTCAGCTCTTAGTTTGAATTCCTGAGAGCTTAGACAAGTCATTCTTCAGCAACATGCCACCCACATAATGCCACTTATATAATTCTATAATTAACTAGCGGTCAATGCCTGGGTCAGTGTAGACAATTTATGGACAGAAATTCAGCTCATATATGTAATGCACTAATACATTTATATGCGTAATGAATGTTCAGTTATTAAGGTTAATGTACCCACTGAACTGAAAACTAGGCATGCACAGTAATATCAGAATCAAATCAACAAATTTGATTTGATAATTTAAAGACTTTTTTTGACATTGGATCAATGCTTAGAATTGACCAATAATTCAAATGGATATGTGGTGGTGAATTTATTAGCTACTATGCTAAAATGTCCACATTTTATTCAATTTGTAGCATTTGTAGTCCTATATAAATAAATGTTACATTGATCCATAATGTTAATCTGGGTGGATCTAGTCCAAATGTTAACAGTTTATGAATGTATGTGTACCAGCATTGGCATTAACACATCATGTACATAAATACCAGCATCAGCCCAGAAAGATTCCTGCTGCATACACAACATGAACAGGATGAATGCACATGGAATCACCATTGACCCTAGAACATCTTGTACACAAAGCTTGTGAGGCATACAGGAGCAACTAGGTTCTTCCTCCTGACATGAGACATGAGCATTGCAGTGCATAGCATGAACACAGAGCGAACGCTTAAGCCCACAAATTAGGCCTTTGCTCGGTCTGGGCAAAGAGTGATGCAACCAAATCACATTCAGTAAGAGGAGGCTTTAGTTTGGGTCTCATCAAAGCAATGCACATTTCAATCAGTCTAAAAATCATGCTTAGGCAGAAGCCTAAGCTGACCCGTACTATCACACTTTTTGTAAAAACACACAGATATAAACACATGCACAAACAAATTTTGACAAACAATAAAAAATCAGAAATGATTGCAATAATTGCAGCATCGCCTCATGCATCATGTAGAGTGTCAAGGACTGGCCAAATATTTCTACATGGATTTTGTGCTTGAAGCATAATCAAAAATTAAGCAGTATTCCAGTTTTTTAGGATTAAAGCCATACTGAGAAGTCTGACTTTCAAATGACAGAACTTCCAATCAACTATATAATATGAAAAATATTAAATGCAATAAACCAATACAATATGTATACTTTTCATATACCCTTTTTGAACTCACAG